CAATTTCTCAGTTTCGGTTTTGAAAATGCCATTGAGCAGACTGAATTGACATTTTTTCTTAATTTGTGAGGAATTTTTTTTTTTTGGGGAACATCACCTATAGAAAGTGACTTTTTTTTTAAATTTCGATTCCACTTGTTGAATCCAGATTTGCACATAATTGCACATATACTTTTTTAATTTTGATAATGCTTTTTGGTTTTCATATTCTTAACGGTCCATAGCTCGGCTTCGCCTCGCACTGGTCATTTTACCGGACTTTTGCAAGAATGATTGCTAAAATGATTTATTTTTTGCATTTATTACATGATGAAGGCCTTCTAATTTTGCCGACATGCTGCGGGGAAGGCCGGGGGTTACATACTCGATATCCTGCGCTTTCGAGGCGCCCCGATGCCCCTCGACCGTGTTACCATCTCTACCTATCCACAAGGTCTTTTCCTATCTTTCCCAAGAAAAAATCACCCAAAAAGTGCAATTTTTTCTCGAAAATTTGGGACCCCCTTCAGATTCGCACGTAACGGGCAAATTAACAAAAACCCTTAACTTATAAAGCCTTCGGATGACTTCCAATTTCAAAATATATCAAAAATGCAAGCGGCCACGTATACATTAAGTCTTACGCAATAACTTTTCCATTGTAACATTATAACTATCGTCGTTCCTTTTAATTAAAATAATTAATACAAAAAATTTGTGACATTAAAGAAAAAAAAGCGCGCGCGCTCGGGTTAGAACACGCGAACGTCCAATTCAAAATCCTGCTTGCTAACCGTTACGCCACCGTGGCTTTCGATAACACTTCTTTTAAACTAACATAAGTACGTCGAGATTACGTAAATGAGCAAATTATTTAAACATATTATTTACTCTACACTTATTCGAACCGCTTTTAAAGTTTATAATAATCAATTTCAAACACTTACCGATTATTTTAATACGTTTATGAGCACGTTTAAAACATGACGGAATCCGTTGCACATTTTTTCACTTAATTTCAAACACAAATCGATCACTGCCCGTCCCGATACCGATTTTAACACATTCCTCGTAGTTCTATCGAATTTTTGAGACTTCAATCGAAATTCTCCGTCCTAAATTAAAAAGGCAGTTAGCGCGCGTTCGACAATCTTCGTGCCCTAAACGCTCACATGACTTTTGCAGACCTTCGGGAGAAAATTTACCACGGTGCCGTCGCGTCGTCCAAGTTACCTCCTCGCGGTAAACGGAAAGAAAAGAGGAAACATGCCCACAGGTACGTTTCGCTCTAACTCTAACGGTTTGGCCTGTAGAAGGCGTCAAAGTTGGAAAATGCGAAAAACGCCTCCTTCGCGACAGACGCTTCGGACTGCGCCGTTTCCGCACCGGGGTGCCACTTTTAATCGCACCGCGGCAAATAGACGCTACCCCCCTCACCCGACGTCTCAGAAAGCGGGAACCAAAGTTCCGGTGCCGTTTTCGAGTTACAAATTTTTTTCTAAAATTTTCGATTTTTTCGCTTTTTATGGCAGCTACCCCGTAGGTCGCGGAGTAACTCGAACCGTATGGAAGGGGTCAATTTTTATCCGCGCTCGCGCACCGCGACGACGATGCTCCCCAGCCGCCCAGCGAATTTTCCCAGGTACCAAAAACTCAGAATCGATCCGAAATGGTGTCGAGAGGCCCTCATAAATATTTCGTCCAAATCGCCGTACGAATTAAAAAATTAATTGCCCGAGTTCCTTATTTAAGGAGCGAAAAACCGAACTTTACGATTATAAAGACTGACTGTTTCAAAAAGAACACAAATTTTGCACTTTACCCTTTGTATTGCATTTTCAAGGTTAACAAAGGTCAATGACTCACTCAACTTGTGTAGAAATTTATTTTCAGAGAAAATCCAATTTTTTGGATAATTTGATCAATTTTCAGAGGAGATGAAGTTCGATGGTGACCTTATGATGGTAATTAAGTTCAAATGTCGGTCTGGTCTCTGCTCCTAAAAAAGCAGGGCGTGTGAGCGACCTTTGAACGGTAGCTTGATCTAGTTTCCAGGGTGCGAGCAATCTTTGACATTTACCTTGACCTACTTTTCGCCTGACCTACCAAGGTCACTAGCAGAGAAGAGCGGAGGACGAATGCCCCTGATCTTCACCTTGACCTGCTTTCCAAAATCACGTGACAGATAACTTTTGAATTTCACTGGACCTTAACTCACTTTCCAAGGCCACAGTCACGTGACCTTGGCCTACTTTCAAGGTCATCACCAGGTGGGTAGCGATATCGAACTGGTCCTGTATCAGCCTTGTATACTTACCTCATACGAATCGGATCTTCGTGTACCGGCGGGTACTAAAAGGACTTTTGAGGACTAAAAACATTAGAGACCCAAAGAATTTATCGATCAAGTGTCTTTAAAAACTAATTTAAAAAACTCAACGTATCTGAAAAGTTCTTGAAGAACCCCGACAGTCTTACGGATTAAGGATTAAAGGCTCATTGACGAACAGCAAAGACTCCTAAAAATAGAAGCTATTTTAAAAGTTTGTAAAAACATCTGAATCAAACTCTTGGTATTCCTTTCAGAGAATTCAACTTAATATTTGTTTTATATTATCGAGCCGGAAGAGCCCCTAGATTTTCTGACGATGCTTTTTTAATGGTATCGAAGACGTGTTCTTCATGCGTACTCGAAGGCCATCAATTTTATTAGGGACTTTCGACAGGTAGGTAGAGGAATTCCTCCTTGCACATCATGTTCGTCTGATACAAACTTTATGTGTTTAATCAAAAATTAACTATTAAATCATTTTTCTTGGCCATAAAAAAATCTGAAATTGATGTCAAAATTCAAATTAAATAAGCGCGCTTCCAATGACACCGGCCCAATCAAATCAGAGAAAGTTTGCTGCAACAGATAAGATTAGTTACCGGTATTTAGGGTTTCACTCTAGTAGCAGGATTGAAATTTCCAAATTCGGTAGCTCAGTACTCAGTAAATTCCAAATGGGTCAAAAATTACTTTTATCGCAACGACATAGTAATCAGTAGGATTAAACTAACCTGTCTCACGACAGTCTATTATGAATTAGATTAATATAAATAAATTCAATACAAAGTTGTTGAAGACAAATAACATTCACGGACGGTCGATTCCTTTAGGAATATTAAAATTATGCCAAACAATATTCCTTATGTACATTCCTAAAAATAACCGACCACTACTTTATACAAATCAAAAAATTCTAAATAACTTAGTTATCTCGTTGGAAAACCGCTTCCTTTAGAATATGGAAACCAAGCAAACCGACTTCAATTTCGCGAAAGTCATACTCAAGATCGCGATTATGCACAGGAATAATAAGCCAATGTTCCTCTGTGTTGATATTAATTTTGACCAATTTATTGACTAGATTTTGTTGCGGGCAAAATGCACTGATTAATTGTCTTTAATTTCCCTGCCATATGCATTGGCTTAACAATAATGCCTCAAAGGTACGCAAAGAGGACTTAAGTCCCGACTTAAAAAGGGCCCCGACAAAAATATACAAAAAATTTAATTCTTTTATACAAAATTCTGAAAAAATTTGGAAATTTCCTGAACTCCTTCAATGGTATGCTTCTATTAATTCTTCACATATTATCCGTTACTAAAGGAAGAGATAAAACGTAAAAAGCGTAATGGAAATGCTGGCCAATGTTTTATTTGCGAAGGGTCATGCACCTGTTTTTTTACAGTTTACAATTACAGTCAGAAGAAAATTCCGAATCATTGTTCACGGGGGATATATATGGGAAAAAAACTTTTGAATTTGAATAATTTATATCTGATTTTAATCTAATACAAAACTTGATATGCTCAAAAGTAGCCAACTCAAATAGATTTAAAAGCAACTCCACTCCTTTCCCATTTGTGAAAAATATAATTCCGAAGTCTCTTACACAAAGTAAATGATATGCTTTGTTAATTAGCGGACTCTTCTCCAATTCAGAAGGTATCTGGAGATCCTGGGTACGGTAACCTTAGACTGAAGATTACCTACCCCTAGATACAAATAGTTCAAATAGTTACAATTAAAATTAAGTACATCATTACCTTTTGTTATGGCAAAAATATTACAAAAAGCTTGATAAATAAAGTTCGAACAGAATCACCTAGACTCTTACTGAACGCAGAAAGCAGTGACGCTAAATTTTACAATGGACCAGTGAACCAATGAATTATAAAATGCAAAATCAGCAAAGCTAAATCACTCTTTTCTGCATAAACAGATTAACATCGTTTGAAAATTGCTGATATTAGGAAATGGTTCCCAAATATTTTTGAAGGCGGCTTAGTTTTATTGAATTTAGTTAATGAAGTGTATTACGTACGGCGGAAATTGAGGTTCACTAACTGTGCCAAGAGCATTGCACCACTGTAACATTACAATTGAGTGTTCTTGACTCGCACATGTTTAATACTTTATTCGATAAATTTCATTGAATCCCTTTAAGTAATTGAGTATGGAATCTTATTGACTGACCCCCGAGCGCTTTCTTTACTAGTTAAATATCGATTTCGGTTTTTATTTATTACGTCCTGGAAACTATATAAAACGTGAACGATCCCAAGCATGTCTATTTATACAATCAGTTATGTATTCAAATTTTGTTTATGTGACAATGTTTATGAAAGTGTAGAGCATCGAAACTGCGCCAAATAAATATCGTCCTTTTATGAGGATTAAGGTGGCTCGTACTAATACTTAACAAAGGTCTTGATCGCTCGTTAAGAAATATTAATTTAAGTAAATCGCTACATTATTTTAAAATTTGCATAGCACTTACAAATGACAGTAAAAAATTTCCAGATAAATTCTTTCAATGCGTTTGTCCGTTATTTGCAAAATCCCATTACCTTCGGTGTATAGCCCTTTTAATTTAAAAGTAAGGATTATTGTTTATGGCTGTGAATTACTTCAAAGTGGTAAATATAAAGGTACCGTGAGATTCTCCCATTGTTCATGACCGTATATACTCTCGACTTATCGCCTTAAAAGCTTCGTATAAAAGGAAGGTTATTAAGAATCTCGCTCTAGACAAAATGATTTTAAAGGTTTTCGTGATAGCTTTAGTGGCATGTCCGGCTGTCTTCGCCTTTGACTCGAAAGTAAGCATTTTATATTTTGGCATTTTTAGAAAAAGAAACCAATTACTTACAGCAAACCACGCAAGAGATATTAGACAAATGGGAAACCAAAATCCTCGAGAGTCTACCCGAATGTCTTCAATCTTCAGGCGTAACTCAAGAAGAGGTGGATAACTTCTTTCACTTGCAGGTTCGGGCCGCCTCGGTGAACTTGAAGTGCTTCATTAGATGTTTTCAAAAAGGTTTTAAGTTTTTGAACGATGATGAGGCCTTCAACAAGGTTGAAATCGTGAATGATATCGATAAGGCCACGGAGGAGATGGTCGACTTTTGTATCAAAGATGCGGCCAACATAGCGAATCCGTGCGACAGGTCTTATAGGTTGGCGGATTGCCTGTTGCATTATGCCCATATCTATGTTTAAACCTCCATTAAATAAATTAATACTGTATTGTTTGCTAAAGGATATTAATAATAAAATAAAGTTAATAAGTAAGGGAGTAGATAAGTTACTTCGGATCACTTGAGTTTTTCCCAATCTATAGCTGTGACAAAATACTGGAAGAAATAGATTAATGTAAGATAGGAACAAGGATAGAATCGAACCACCGACCGATGGAATTGAGTCTGAGAGAGAAGATAAACAGATGAAGTAAAAAAGGCGCAAAGAAGAGGGGAGATACAGCTGTGGAGAAAAGACACAGGGGAGAAGTACGGAGGGAGACTAGAGGGACAAGGAGAAGAAATGGCAGGGAATGCAGAGGAGGAGTAGAATAATATAAAGGAGAGTATTAAAGAAGTAACGTAGAAACAAATAACTGAAGGGGAGGAAAGAGAAACAAGTATAAATTGTGCACAACTCTTGTGCTGATAAAGCGCATTTTTTTTAACCGAAATAGCCTTTGTTTTGACATCACCAATGGATATGTTTCTTACAGACGTCTCAATCGCTCTTTGTGAGTACCCTCTTCCGACAATCCGTTCTTGAGGTATATGGGAATATACCCGATCACGATAAGAGGTCAAGGAGGAGGGCTATGGTTGGTACAAATTAATTCCATTCGTTGAGACCTTTCATTAGAGTACCATGAAAAATATTTCCACTCCCCCCTCCCCCTCCACCCAGTACTTTGATAAGAGGACAGAAGAAGGGCAGTAGTTGGTAGAAAAGGGTTCCTTTCGTTGAGACTTTTAATTAGAATACAATGAGATAACATTAATTTTTAACCTCCCCCCCCTCCCACCCTCAGGCCCCGCCGCTCACTGATCTCGAAAAATAGTCGCACTGGAAAGTTATAGTTTGTACAAACCAATTTATTTCGATGAGACCTTTCATTAGAATACCATGAAGGGTAGAACATGTGTTTAAACCCCCCCATTTTCAAAAGTTTCGTGGGGGGGGGGCTTTTATAGTAGTTCGCAACGGCAGAAGTGGGTCCGGCGGACGGACGGACAAAACGCAAACAATAGCACATTTTTTTTTATTTCTTAAAAAATGCGCTAAAAGGAAAGGAGTCGTGGGATAAATAATGTACAGAAGAGAGAAATAGATATATAGAAATGATGGAGACAGAAATAAGAGGGAAAACAGAGGTAAGAGAACAGAAAGGAAAGTGCAAGAGAAAATGTAAAGAAAAAAGATGAAGAATCAGAAAGAATAGGAAGATAAAAATAGAAAAGGATTTCTGGATGGTGGAAAAAGATAAATAGAGCAAGTGGGAAGGAAATACAATTAGAGGAATAGAAACAACATTTTGTCAAGTAGCCACAAGGAAAGTAAGAGAAAGGAGAGGCTATAGAAGAGGTAGGAAGAGAGGAGGGTGAAGGAAATAAAATAAGCGGCAGGGAGATACGAGATAGGTAAGCTTGGATTTTCGCCAAAGATAGGTTCAAGGAAAAGATGAGAAATCTAGTGAACGATGTACGGAAAGGAGGGGATTTACTTGAAGAATGGAAGGAATGGATAATTGTGCCGATCTTCAAAAGAAGAAACAAAGTTCGTGTGGAAAACTATAGGGGAATAGGAGATAAACAAGGCCGATCCTGGACCGTTCAAGGTCGTTCGCCACCTGGTGGTGACCTGGGAAAGTAGATCAAGGTGACTTTCCACGTGGCAGTGTCCTTGGATTATTTGGATTAAAGGAAACGTAAAGTTACCCTTGAGCGATAACTTGAAGACTACTACCAGGGGAGAGCGGAGAGCGAGTGCTCTTTAAACTTTACCTTGATCTACGTTTCAAGGTCATTGCAAGGTTACTAACAGGGAGCAATACCCAAAGAATGGACGCAATGGCCTTCAAAATCTATGGGGCCAATAACTTCAAATGACCTTAAAAATGTAATTTGGCACAACAGAAATGAGGAAATGTTCTTGGAAGACCTTGAAAATGTATGAGGTCTATGACCTCGGATGATTGAAAATTTAAGTTGACTCCCAAAAAAGGGGCCGATGTCCTCGAATGACTTTGAAAATGACCTCGGCAGACCTTGGAAATATAATTCGACACCACAAAACGGGATCAATGACCTCGGATGGCCTTGAAAATGTATGGATCCGATGACCTAAAATGTAATTTGACGTTCCAACAATGGGTCACTGACGTCGGATCAGAAAAAGGTGTCAATGACCTTGCGTGACCTTCAAAATTTATGGTGTCAATGAAAACTGCAGTCATTGAACTGAGGTCATTGACTTTGGATGACATGAAAAATGTTATTTGCCCTCACAATTAGGGTCATTGACCTGGGCTGACCTCGAACATCATCATTTGACACCACGATCCAATTACCTTGTATGCCCTTAAAAATGTGACTTAACACCACATCAATTGAAGCCATTGACCTTGAAAATGTAATTTGTCGCCTCAACAATGAAATACGATCGCTACAGCTTCCCCTTTCAGTGTTGCAGCAACCCACTTTCCAAGGTCACTGACCACGTGGCACGCGACTTTCACCTTGACCTAATTTTCAAGATTACCGCCACATGTCTCGCCATCTTGACCTACTTTCCAAGGTCACCGCCAGGTGGCGAACGACCTTGAACGGTCCAGGATCGTCCTTGTTTATCTACTGAGAATCACTACATAAAATCTATGCAATCACACTGAACGAAAGAACACATTGAGACTCGGAAGAGGAGAGGGTGTTGGAGGAAACACAGGCAAGAAGAGGGAACGGTCGACGACGATACATACTATGAATTAAGGTAGAAAAGGAATTGGAAAAAATGGGCTTCCTTTCCAGGTGTTCACGTTTTTAATGGCAGAGTTTGACAGAGTGGGGGGGGGGGATGTGAAATAAAATAGAAATGGACAATTCCTAATTTCCTTTGACACCCGAAATTTACTTGTATGCCTTGATTTCTTCTGCTTTCCCCCCTCCTTTTTAACTACTTCCTGCTCTCTTACCCTTATATGCCTCCTAGGATCTTTTGACTGCCTATGTCTTCGAGATCATTCAATTTCTGGATTTCTGAATTGCTTTTGGTGTCGTATACACCATTGACTGCAGTGGATTTTTTTCATATCTGAATTCCTATCTTTTTCGTTTTCTGTGTCCTTGTCTTTTTAGCTACGACTTCTTCAATTTATTTGATTGCTCCCTAGAGACTCGTTTGTAAGACTTTCTTAGGACGCTAAATGGCGGTTAGGGAGGGATGGTCCAGGGGTCCTTGACTTAAGCGGGCGGTTTCTTACGCGAAATTATAGTTCCGAACCTACGTAATTCTTTTCTAGGGGTGGGAAGTACTAGGTTGTAACGTCGTTTCCGCCGCCGAAGACGAAATCAAGATACTGTAACTAATTCGCAGTTTGTAGCCGTTCCCGTAGAGATATCATGACAGAATCAGAAAGCTCTCTCCGATTGGAAGAGGAGGGAAACTTAATATTGCATGATTTCATCTCCTTTAATTACACGTAGAGAAACCTGATAAGGTTAACCTACCGCTTGACTCAACAATTTCGGGTCTCGATCGGTGTTAACTGAACTACCGAATTTCGGAATTTCAGCCCGGTCTTTCAACTGAGTAACTCTTGTGGTGTTGCAGCAAAACGTAAAATGGGTCGTGTTTGGTGTTGCTGGAAGAGCGCTTAAATAACATGAGTTTTTAGGGTAACAGGGGATCGAGTAATTAAAAGTAGTTTGGATGTTACTACCCGGGTACGCCGGCTGGCAGGAAATTCCAATGTTTCCTTTCCGCATTTTAGGAATTCTATATAAGGCAATAGCATGATTTAGGATGATATTTTGCCGCTTCGGCTTTTGCTTAAGAATTTTGATTGCGTTGATTATAAAAGGGGTTCGTTTTCCTTTAGATACACGATACACTGTTAGTTAAATTGTGTTTCCTTTCCCGCTTTGGAAAATCGCAACCGTTTCCATGTACCGTAATTCTGTTTTAGATTATTCGCCAGTGATCGACCGCCCGTTTCCTTTTTCTTCATCTGATTACCTGTGGCTTCGGAAACCGTTCCGAAACCGACCATCCTTGATCTGTAGCAAGGATCGACAATCTCCTGGTGGCGCTCGAGTAAACTATCCCGTTCCGCCATTTGGTTTAGAAAGTAATTCTGTTTACTTTTAGTTATAATTTATTTTTGTTTTATTTATTTATTCCCACACGTCTAACCTCGTCTTAATTTACCAACATTTTTACGTGGTCGCTCTTGAAGAATAATTTTAGCGCACCAAAGAGGGTACGTGCTCGCTGACCGTCCAACTCAGACTGATTTAAGAATTCCCGCACCACGGTCTCGGTAGCTTTTTATTTCGAAGATGCACACTTGCTTAGCGCTCTTATTCCAGACATATTTTCGTTCACGTTCGCTATGAAGCGGTATTTGTTAACATTTTTTGTGATATTGTGGCTGAACTTGAGCGAACCAGAGGGCCGATTTGTCCTTACAAAAAGGAGGTAATTTTACACTCACTCACTCGTGGGGAATTGCTTGTACTTTTTCTTCCATTGGTCGTGTGCCACCGCGTGTGACTTGATATCCCAAGAAACGGACTTCTTGCTTTCCGAAGTAACATTTGCTGGCGTTGATAATAATTACGTAGTCGGCGAGGCTTTAGAACAATTGTCTGAGGTGTATCGATCCGGTAGATTTCTGGCCTGCAGTGCCCTGTAGTCCTCGCACGGTCTCCACTAGTTGGATTTCTTCGGCACCAAGTGCAGTGGCGATGCCCAAACACTCGAGGAAAGTTAATGGCGTTAATTCTCGTCCTAATTGGGTGGTTCAGCTGTGGTTTGTATGTGATTCCCTGGTGCATAAAATCGACCATCAATCGGTAATTTTCTTATCAGCGAGAAAACACGTGCGTTAAATGATTTTCGCCTGAAAATAACACTTCTTATCGCAAACGACCAGATGTAACCTACTTCTACCACCTTATCTAATTTGAACAATTTTCAAAAAAAATTAAAAAAAGAATTGAAATTATTTCACATACAGGGTGGCCCTTATTGAAGGTGGAGACACCAAAATAACGTGTACGG